TTGATTAGGTAGTTGGAGTCTTTCTTTACCTGCATATGGCCTGAGGATTTTAAGAAGATATGAGACTCGCAAGTTGTCTTAGGGAGAATTTGACGACTGAGAAAGTCCTTGTACGTGAGTATGTCTGACAGGTAGGATTATTCGTAAGATCCAGGCAGTTTAATACAAGCTTGAATCAGTCATTTCTTGCTGCTTCAGTGCTTCGTGAACTCCATATTTAAGGAGTTCCTCCTGCTTTTATATGGTTCAGACAACATTGAACATCTTTGTCCTTGCCGCTATCTTTGTGAATCGATTATTTTTTTACCGCTTGAAATCAAAGAATTCCTTTGTTTACTGCAGGAGTTTTAAATCTTTTATTATAGTCCTTGTTAATCTTTGACGGAGTCTATATGATATTGGAAAAAGCATTAAGCATTACTACTGTATTTCTTGTCAATAGAAAAACACATGCGAGTGATAATAAATCCGAGTCAGAAATTTTCACGGAAGGCTTTATGAGAAATGTATGAATTATAAGTAGAATGGATGAGTGCAAATATTAGTAGGGTATTCTCTGCACCTACTCTTCGCGCTGATATTGAAGAATACGATGTTGAAATAGTTACTTTATTCGAAGGCATCAATACGTATAGATGTGATGCAAATGCAATAGGTTCTTCTAATAGTAGTTTGTCTACTAAATCTAATTGAACCTTGGACGTAAGTCCAAATGTATTGTCCACTAAATTAATTGATTACTTTAATTATAATATGCGTAATAACAGAACAATTAAAAAAAGTTCAAAAGTGATAATTAAATTCTAGCAAAAGTACGAACAACGATGGTCAGTGATTTTTACGATTGTAAAAGACCTACTAACACCTCCGATTAGCACTTTAACTTTTGAGTCTACTTTTAGTGCAGGTAAGAGAGTGTTGTTCGATGTTAGGATTCGACTGAAATAAGATATTTTGGAAGCATCTATGTGCGTGAAGTATGATCAAGACATTTATTTCTGACTACAAGATAAATACGCATAAATTGCATGTCGTCGGATAAGTGATATTTAATTTAACCATATTAATATAAAATTATTATTTTATGATACTATGTTTAATTTTTTTAAAAAAAAATTGTATACGTAGCAAGTTGTTCGTGTACAATTTTAACTCCGCCTACTTGAAATTGAAGTAATTGGTCCCAAATCCTGAAAAACGAAGATTGGTTATCTTTTTTTTAAAAAAAACGAAAATTAAACGAGTTTGAGGGGCGAGCTCGAGTAACGAGCTAAGCATAAGCTAGTGGGCATTAGGGCCAAGCCGACTCGGCTCGTAACGATCCATTGCCACCACTACGGCACGATATGATATTATTAGATTTTACATTAAATGCAAGGAGGCTTCTATATAAGTATTTTTCGAAGACATGTTGCGGACAATCGAGAGGGTAGAGGACATTTGTTGAGAGATTTGCAACCCTTAAGAGGGACATGTGGCGAAATATGATGGATGTCGTCCAAGACATGGATTACATGAGATTATTTCTGACGGAGATCAAGTTGGATTTTGGGAGGCGGGCTCGGCCATTTTCGTCTCAATTGGGACTAGGTTCCTCATTGATGAGTCGATCAAGTCCAATGGCTTGTTTGGACTGAAAGGCCTACTCACAATGGTCACCTACCAATTATGACTAGAGAGATCACTAAGTAGAGAATCGATGAAGAGAAAGAGGATCGATATAGAACGTCATGGGTCGTGAAATCAGATCAAGATCAAGTGGTCGAGCTGGGACAAGGTAGTTGAGCTTGACCACGTGGCCTTGCTGAGTCAAGTACGGTTGAGCTTGGGCAGTGATAGCGTAGCGCAGCTAGATGTTTCCTTGTTGTTGGCCCGAGTGATGGCAAAGGCGGCTAATTTCTTAGTGAACATTAATTTTGTCGTAATGGTTCATAAATGAAGATTAGTTCAAAAATCATCGATCTTCACAAAATTTATAAAAAGAGAGAATCCGAGTTGGCCCGAACAAGAAGTAAGCTCTACCTTGGCACGAGAATCTATGCTAGCAAAGCAAACACTGTGTTACCTCTGCTGAGCCGTCGGACCGCCCATCTCTTTTCCTTATTTTGTTGAACAACAAATCCTCGAGTACATTTTAGTCAAAAAGCACTCGCTTGCTTTAACCAGGCACGTGGGAGACAGTACTCTGAGCTCTTGCCTTTTAGTCCGTGCCCTTATGCAATCCTTAAAGAATCACTCGTCTCTTGCCACGTGTGCATTGAAATGGCAACGTATATCACCACCCAGTGGAATTAGCAAGTTCCTGCTACGTGTACTTCTTCGGATATAGGGCGGTGGGACTTCACAATTAAATTTACAAATTTAGCCCTGAATGTTTGGAAGCGTCAAAATTGAATTAGAAATTAGCATTCCGAATTTGTCCTCTGCATAATAATTTTTTGGTAAATGTCTTTTGTACCCTTTAAAGTGTACATCATGCTTCACATTGATTTTATTTTTATATAATTGTTGGAAGAAAAAACTTTTTCTTTTAAATTGTCAAATGATTGGCAAACTGTCAAACTCGATGTATATCAAAGTGTACGTACACCAAACATGATTCATATTTTTTTCACTCATTATATCATTACATTTTGAAAAATTCAATAAGTACATATTCATTTTCATAGATTTTATACAGGGATAGAGCGGTCTCCCTATATAAAATCGGTGAAAAAACCTTGTCCATGTAGCATTTTTCTTTAATGCTTAGAACTCAAGTGATTATAAAAAAATAAATGAAATTGTGATTATTTGTTTACCTTTCCTTTTGAATTTTGGCAAAACAACCTATGTTCTAACCAAGGATGGCAACAGGGAAGGATCAGTGACAGGTTGAGACGAGGCTTAGGTGGGGGACCTGTCCCGTTTATTTTTTCTTGTTTTTAGTTGGTGAAAATTATTATTTTTTTTCCAATTTATTAAGAACTCATGTTCCCTTTATAAATGATGATATA